CCGCCTGTGGACGGGCCGCGCCAGGTGCCACAGCAGTGCAGGCCCGCGCCGAGTGCAGGGCGGCCCCCGTGCCAGTGGGTGCGGGAACGGGCTTGAAGGACAGGCCCCGGCAAAATGGGAACCAGGGACGCGGGCGCCCGTTCGGCTTCCCCAAAGCAGCTTCCCCGCCCACCTCAGCGGCTGGCTCCTGAGGGCCTCAGAGAAGGTGACGCGCAGCCTGACAGCTGTGGCCAGGAAGCTGCCCTCTGCCCCAGGAGGCCCCGGGTCCTGAGGGCGTAATTTTGAGAGCCACGAATCTATCCCATCACCAGAGTCAGGGGACCTCACGCTCCTGCAACATCCACACACCCGCAGAACCTACGGCTCCCGAGCCTTCCCCCCAGTCACGTGACCACGACTGCCAATTCCAGGAGCCCCCTCACTCCGTGCTCTTGACACTTCCCTGAAGAGGCTTTGCAATGAATGCTGGGTGAAACTGAATGAGCTCAGGGCGGGTCACAGCCACCCCATGCTCCTTTTTAGGGAAGCTGCTGGCCAGGGTGGGCCTTTAACCATCTCGTCCTGAACCGAGCAGGAAGGACAGTGGCCACCGCTTCATCATCGGTGTCAGCAGACTGCCCAGAGCACCACCATGCTCCAAAGCAGATCACCTGCCCCGACCTCGCCCTGGCACCATCAGGGGGCTTAGTGACCATCCCAGGAGGCGGCAGCTCAGTATGGGTAGCACAAGACTCTCAAGAAGCCGAACAGGCTCTGACAGCCCACCGGCCTCAGTGGCAAGTCTGGCGTTGACCCACCGAGTACTAGACCCCACCGGCTGAACCTCAAGAGATGCATGGGCGCCAACCCCATTCGCCATGGCAGCTGCTCCGAACCTTTCTGCCCTCCGCCGCATCTCGGGCAGGCGTGGAGAGTATTTATTCCAGTGGCTGGCACATTAGATTCGGGAGGGATGGAGCTGTGCTCTGGGTACATTAAACGTGCTCGCTCGGTTAGAAGCTGTCCAGTTTGCTCCTTTTATGAGTCTGCGCTAAATTCGCATCCAAAGGAGCGCGTGGAACACACTGTCCGCAGCTCCGGCCGGCGCTACCGGAAGAGCCGGTAGGTCTTGGGCAGGCGCCCGTCCCTGCTGGACAGTGCCGCCTGGATGTGCTCATACGTGGGCAGGTCAGCCAGGTCGCCCAGGGCAGCGACCGCCGGCCTCCTGCGCAGCATCTTGGAAGCGACCCTCCTGATGTCTTCCGGCTTCACGTTGCCTGCCACAGAGAGCAGAGAACAGTGACACACCTGACGCCCACGCGGAGGTCACGTCCCTGCGTCGTGCTGTGTAGAATAACCTGCCACCGCCACCCCAGCCGGGGAGGAGGTGCTGAGGACTCTAGAGGGTCCAGGCGCAGCGTGTGTGGACTGCACGGTCATCAGGACGAAGGCCCAGCAGGCGTCCACGTAAGTGAGAAATAAACGCTCCTCGCCTGGCAGGTTATCTGTGGGATGGGCGAACAGAACCTGCAGGGCCGTGCGGACAGCAGGGGGCGCGGGAAGGAGGAGCGAGGGCTGCACACACGGCTCGGCCCTCAGAAGACAGCACCTGGGACCCGGGGGACGGGATTGAGCAGAACCCACAGCCCGGGCCACACACCAAGCAGCGGGTTTACTGTGCTGTGAGGATGAGGCTTGAGACTGGGCCCTGTCGTACGGGGGCGTCTGAGGCGCCTCCCCAAGGGAGGACAAGGGCCCGTGCGTGGGTGGGGCAAGAGCCGTCCCCGCAGCACTCCCAGCCCAGGGCACACCAACTACGCGACTGTCAGCTTCACGCAGGTGACAAGCCGTGACGGCAGTGGTGCTGACCCTCTGGGCTGCAGACCCTTTGAGAATCTGACAAAACAAAGATAAACCTGTCCCCACGAGAGTCACGACAAACAGGACCTGGCATACAACAGGAGGGAGTGCCAGGCCCTCCTGACGGTCACCTGTGGGAGGCCATGAGAACCTGGGCCGGCATCGGCCACAGAGCCGCCAAGGGCCCTGGAGCTACTGCCCCACGTGCACGCGGCGAGAACTCACGGATGAGCGCGCACAGCTCGTGCGGCAGCTTCCGGGAATGGGTGGCCAGCACCTGCCTCCCCACGTCCTCGAAGATCACAGGCCGGGACTCCAGGTTCATCATCAGCATGGACATCAGCTGCGTCTTGGCTCGCTCCAGCTCCACCTGAGGGTGACAGCCAAGCCGCCTGGTTCGTCTCCCAGCGGGCTCCCATCAGCAAGGAGCTCAGCCACCTCAGCCAGCAGGGCTTGCAGGAGTGCGCCCCGGCCTGGGGGCACGCCTGCCACACCCCGCCTGCCCTGCTGGGTCAGAGTCCAGACTATGCTTGACAAGACCATCACCACATCTGAAATGAGGGAGGAACAGCTTTCCCTTGGGCTCTTGCTCACGGTTTGAGAAGCTGACCACACAGCACGTAAAGGGTGAAATGTCAAACGCCAAACTCCAAAGCTGACCACGCATCGAAATCACAAGGGAAATGAACCGCACGCGGACCCTGGTGCAACTGGTCCCTGCTCCCTAGGGGACACTGAGGGAGCGGCCATTTCCCAGCTCTGCACCAAGAGCCTCTCCGACCACGTGTGACATTTAAAACTGAGTGTAGCAGTCGGTTCGCAAAGTCCAGCCTGAAATTCAAGGGCACAGAAAGGAGCTGATGAGAAAAGCCAGATTCTCACAGGGTCTGAATCTGGGAGCTACCAGACCTTGCAGAACAAATACCGGCCGAACTGGCTGTTAAAATTCCGCGTCGTTTTTTAAGTATGATAATTCCTAGTTTACAACAGGCCTTTTCTAATTCTGCAGCTTCAGCAAACACTAAACATTGACCTCAAACTGATGTCACGTTAGAGAAAGCTTTATCCTGCAGGGTGCTAGCAGACCCACAAGTGTTCATTTGTAAGTGTGTTTTTATTATTAAAACGACACCTTTTCTGATTAAAAAGGTAACGTGATTACTGCAAAAAATGTGAGACGTACAGAAAACGTGGCCTGAAGGTGAAGCGCAGGCGCCAGCCCAGAGGCACACGGCCTCGCCTGCCACTGCTTCTGGCACTGTGCATGTGTGCGTGTGCGTGTGCTCAGAGGCACACGGCCTCGCCTGCCACTGCTTCTGGCACTGTGCATGTGTGCGTGTGCGTGTGCGCGTGTGCGTGTGTGCGTGTGCGTGTGTGCGTGTGCGTGTGCGCGCACGCGGAAAACCTGCAATCTGTACCAGCTCTGCTTCCAGAAGCAGCAGGGCTTCTAAACACGCGAGGTATCAAAAAATGAGCTAAAAAAATGAGGGAAAAACCGAGATTAAAACAAAACGAAGGCAGAAAAAAAGCCAGAAAAGCACTGAGTGCGGCTCGTTCCCTGGCCCAAGGACGTGTGGGGCCAGTCAGGCGCCAGCCGACCAGGAGGAGGGCTCCCCATGGGGAGACGCCCAGCACAGGCCTGGGGCACCCTCGGGCGGGGACTGCTCTGGCTGGGACGCTGGCACTGGGGGCACAGAGAACAGCCCGCCCAGCACTGTGGGGCCATGGGGCAATGGCGCCTGGCCGCGCTTACCACATCCACGGTCCCGCCCATCAAGATGAACTCCTTCGTGATGATCTCCACCATTTCCCGGACCTGCGGGGGGAGCGCCGAGAGTGTGATGCTTACCCAACCCCACGGGGAGACGCCTGCTCCGAAACAGCGGCTCCACCCCCGAGATGCGGCCCGACCGCAATGCGCTCACCTGTCGGGGGTCGGCGCTGGCGTGGATGCACAGCAGGCCCGTGTCCTCGTAGCTGTGGTGGTAGGCAGTTGCGTTGTACATCCAGTGGTGCCTGTGGGGACACAGAGAAAGGGACACCGGAATGTGCCATCACGGTGTGACACGCCCTCCGCTGGGCGGTGGCCCTGGGGCGGCATGCCACACACCTGTTCAACACGTTGAGGTAGAGCCTGGTGAACATGCCCTTGCCAGGCCCGCCGGCCGAGAAGGAGCCACCGCCGCCCATCATCATGTTCAGCACGGCGAAGGGTATAAAGTCCGCCTCCTGCAGGGAGGTGGGGCAGAGGTCAGCCGAGGGCACGTGCCTGGCCTGGGGCGCGCGCGCCTGGCGGGGACTTACCAGGAAGGAGCAGCTCTCCAGCCCGATCATGATGTGTGTGAGCTCGGGGAAGGCGGTAGGGCCCAGGCTGACGTTGGACATGTCTCTCTCCAGCTGTAACGAGGGAGAAACAGGCCTCGCAGACGCTCTACGAAAACCCGCGCACACAGAAGGGCCCTAACAGGCCCTCGGCTCAGCGGGTAACATGTGCGTGCTCTGAGGCCAGGACGTGCACGGAGATAAAGCCACGACCACACAGGTCACCCTAGCACCTTTGGGACAGACACGGGAAGCCACAGAAAGCGCCTACCACTGAGGTGGCGGGCCTTTCCCAGCTCGCTTTACCTTGACGATGCCCCCGGTGTACTGTGCTACCGACCGATCCACGTCCACAGCGGTCTCGCTTCCCCAGGCCGGCTGGCTGCCCAGGAGGTACTTTCTGGCGCATTCCACGAGGTGGTCGTGCTCGACCCCGACCCCCGCCAGCACCATGCGGTCCGGGGTGTAGTAGTTTCTCAGGTAGGCGTGAAGCACCTCCCGGTCAATCTTCGCTATGTTTTCCGAGGGGCAGAAACGGCGCAAGCCAACCGTGTTCTCACTGTAAGCGGCCTGATGAAGGAAGCGGGAGAAACACAAGTGACAGAGGGCACAGCTGGCTTTCCTCAAGGAGCAGGCCTGCCGTCACCCCCAGCCGTGCTCGGGGAAGCCCGCCGGCTGCCCCGCGTAGCTACGGTGCAGCAGTGGCAGCTCCACGTTTACTGAACAGTGACAGCTGCCTCTCCGGAACGGACATCCTTGCACTTGTGAGAGGCTCGCTCTGGAAG